TTTAAATATTACAATATTTATATTTCTATTTAAACTACAGTTTTCTATTTTATTCATCGTAGCATTTAATTGATTCAAATTTCCTTATAGTTTTAAGTTAAGCAGATGGCTTGTAAATACTACATCTAGTACATTGTTATCTATATTCTTTGAAGTCAATTTAGTTAATCCCCTGTGCAATTATCTTTTGTGACCCTGAAGACGGTATAGGTGTCACAGTAATTAACACTTTACCTGGCCATATAAATCTATTGTACAGATGTCAAAGAATCTTGAGTAAATCAAATAATCACTCAATTTACCTTAAGGCTAAGATTATATTTTATCAAGAAGAACAAGAGATAATCGCAGCAGTTGTAGTTTAGCAATAAGAGAGTTAGGAGCTAGGGCTAGAGCATGCAGCTGGCAGACCCAGTCTTGGATTGTAAATAATGTACAAATTACTCCTTTAATAAAGACTGTAAAGACATTTTATCTTATGTCTTACTCCTTGACAAATTCATGTCAAGGACAGTAACCATGTCTATTGGTTACTGCGTGACCCAGTGTTGAGGCCAGGTGTGCACGTGTGTGCAATAGGGTGCACTACTCGTTCCAAGTGGACCCCTACCCTCCCCGAGTGGCGGTCACAGTAGATTCAAGTTTGTTCAAATCATGACCCCCGGGGCTAGGGTGGGGCCAAAATGGCTGACCCAAGTTTTACATAGGGATATATAGGGAAACCTTTTAAAATCTTCTTTTCAAGTACTTCAAAGCTATGATTAGTGATATTTATATGGAATCATCCTCCTGTTAGTGTAGATTCTAGTTTGTTCAAATGATGAACGCCTGGAGGGGGGAGGGGGGTGGAGTAAATTCAAGCCTGATGTGCTCAGGTGAGCGCTGTGGCCCCTGGGCCTCTTGTTCTTATTAAATCTTTTATTTTACATTTTATTTTAGTTCATTCAACTAAAAAGTTTATGTTATGAGGTGATAACATAGTATGTATTGCACGAATGTTTTTGATGATATTCTTAAATGAGGTAACAGAAGTGATGAGCAATATGATAAATAATTAGTTATCTGTGATTTGTTCTATTATTCCATTGCCAGCTCAACTGTAACAGATAAAGATGAGCCAACAAGAGTTCTGCAAACAGAAACCATGCTTAAAGAGGATATAGATATTAACAAAGCACAATACACTCCTGAGGTAAAAAGTGTTTCCATTCAACATTTCAGTGTTAAGATTTAAGAAAAAAAAAAAAAAACATACAACTGTTACTTGATTAGAAGCAGAAAATTTTCCTCTTTCAACAAGAAAGCCCATCTGATTCTACTGATATTGTCAAACCAAACAATTTTTAGTAGCTGGTTACTCAATTAACCAATCAAATTTTTTTCTTTCATTTTCCAAAAGAAAAATGATGAGAGGATATTTAAAATTTATGATACTTCTTTAATAGTGATAACTTCTTGGTTCTTTTGCAAGGAGTCCTTTCGATGAATTTGAATTTCAGTCTGAGGTGGTTTAATTAGCATGTTTTGTTGTCCCACCCTATATGTCGATTCCATTTCACATATTTTATACACCTCACAGGCTCACAGCTAAATTTTCATATACCATAGTCTCTCAACATAGATTATAATTATGAAATGTTTTCTACAGAATCTCTCATTAAAAAGCTTTTAAAAATCGGCAAAAACTTCCATATACGAGGGTTGATCCAAAAGTTCGTGGAATTTCTTTCTAAAATTTTATCGTGATTTGATGAAATCAATTAAAAGGCATATTCATAATAAACAGTCATTATGCAACAATATTGGAAAATTTCACTAATTTCCAATAACCAATAAGGTCACACGAGCTTTCTGAAAATAAAGAGTTGGGAAACCCGGGGGAGACTTTCGACGTAACGTCAAGTTAGACATGTCACGCCACGTTATAGAAGCATCTCGCCCAAATGTCCAATTATAATACGTAATTCTACAAAATGCTGCCTTTTTCTCTATTTTTTTTTTTCAAGAAAAGCCTGGGTATCCTCTCGCACCAACTTATCTTCATTTTTATTCATATATTTCATAATACTACTCATCTTTCCATATTATGTTCCAATTTCAGTAGCAATGTCAAGAACAGTACAGCGGCCGATAACGTCCATTATCGCTTTTATTTGTCTAGGAGGATACGAACTTAAATAGAGCCTCTAAAAGGCGACCAAAACTTTTATCAACGTCCATGGAAGTTTTATTTTTCTTAAATTTCTTATGCCACTGGAAAACCAGTAACAAAATGCATTTTACCCAAGCCTATGTCAATAATATACGTGTTTAATATAGAGTGATCCCGGGATTTTCACAAAATGTGTGACTTGACTGAAATTTGACGTTATCTAACAACTTAAAGATGAGCAATAAATCATCAACTTGTAAACAAAATATCCAGTAAAATCAGTAAAACTCCCACACAAAGGTTTATAAAAGATCAAGCAATCGTAATAATGACATAATTTTCGTTTTATATACCACAAAGGGTGGTTTAATTCTTATTTCAAGAATTAAGAATTTAAATGATAATAGATGCATTAATGTCTCCCCCGCATTTCCAAACAACCGTTTCTATGGCAACTGCCATAAAGGTACTATCGAAGAAATTTAAAATGTTTTTTAATTTAAAATATTCATCAAGTGTCTATATTTTCATTTGTAATTTTCAACCAATTCCACTGAATAATAAATAAAATATGAAGAAATTCCACGAACTTTTGGATCAACCCTTGTATGTTTTAAAGTCATTTGCAAATGGATAAAAAGTGGTTTGTTCAAATCACGACACCTTGGCAACTGAAAGTTGATAAAAGTTTAAACATTGGAATATAAAGGAAAATTTTTTCTCAAGATCAGAAAAGGTATGACAGTTATACAGACATGTTCTCAAGTAGTTTAGATTAATTTATTTTAAATCATGATACCAGGGGTAGGATGGGAATACAGAGAATGATAAAAAAATTTGTATAGAAATTTATACAATCATGTATTTGAGAAAATCTCCTCAAGAACAGCAAAGGCTTGATTTATCATATTGATATGAAAGTATCCTCTGGTAGTGAAGATTCAAATTTGTTAAAATTATGACTCCATGGTAGAATTCATTGGGCTGCAATCGGTTATACATAGGGATAACCATCCTTGGATAAGTATACATAGTTTGTTCAAATTGTGACCCCCTTTTTAAGGTGGGGCCACAGTAGGCTATCAGGTGGGCCATAGTGACTCAGGTAAGCATTGTGGCCTACATGTCTCTTGTATTCATTTACAGGGAGCAGTATTATCAAATTCTAAGTTTGAAGGAAAAATGGTAACATGCGAGGATGGCTCCATTCCTGCAAGCAACAATGAAACATGTGGCAAGTATTTTTAAAAATATCATTGAATGATAATTTCATTAGCATTTTATTTTGGATTACATTGAAACTTGTCCAAGTTGTATGTTATGCATTCCAAAATCCTGCCTTATATGAATAAACTTTTGAAAAGTTTCTATCAGTAAATTCAGTTGATTAGACTTGTGTACTTTTGTTTGGTACCAGTAGTGTTGGGATTATAGACAAGTTTTACTGTATAATCAGTTTGATGAAATTATGTTGAGACTGTCAGTTTTCTTTTCTTGGTGTATAATGAATGATTTCACTTGATTGTAGCTTCCTGGGTAACATCTATTACATTTATTTTAGCTCATCTAAGTGAACTTTTTTGAGTGAAGGTTGTCTGGCATTTTATTCAATTGATAACCAGACATGATTAATCGATCAGATCGGTAATCGATCACTAATCGATTGTAATCGAACACTAATCGATTGATTACTTATGGTCATCGATCACTTAAACCCCCGTCACATTTCCAAAAACGACCAACGGCCGACGGGTTTTGAAGCAAAAACGGGATTCTTCGGGTGACAGTCGTCAGTTCATCGGCCGTTGTCTTGGCCGATTTTGACCTCTTTTTTTGTCGGCCGACTAATTTTGTGTCCATCGGTCCAAGTTATAATTTTTCCTGCGTCGGTGGCCGATTTCCTCAATTGAAGTTATCTGTTGACCAACCTTCGATCATCGTCCGACCATCGGCGGTCAGTTTATTAAGTCGGTCGTCCGTCGTTGGGCAATAAGGGTGTTTAAAATTTCGGCCGACGGATAAAATCAAACTGTAGCTCAAAGCTAGATGATCCGGCGACGATTGGCCGACTTGTGAATATCTAACCTATTAGGGATACATAACACAAACAAAATTTTGATTCATGGATTGATATATATTTTATGAACGTAAATAACATGAATAATTAATCCGTAAGATATGAAGAAATCTTAAGTATTCTTTGCTGCTTAGATATGCACCATTTATCGTTTTTATGCCATTCCATACAAAATTTTGCACACATTTTCAACATTGAGTCATAATTTTATAAGATTCTGCCACTTTACCTTGCAAACATTACTCACATCACCTATCTGAATATAGATCTTTGAAAAAAATATTGCTGATTTCTAGAGAAAAAGATTTTTTTGTGTTATCTATACAAGTCATCGGTGTCCCTAGGAAATAATGTGACTGCTCCATGTCGCCCGATACTGTGTCGGCCGATCATGTTCTTTCAGCCGACAAGACCAAAAAAATTTTGTCGTCCGACCATCGGCTTAAATGTGACCTAGGCATAATCGATCAAACTCCTCAGGAAATCTGGACAGTATAGCTGATGTTAAACCCATATGTCTATGTTAAACATGTTAAATGCATAATCTTATTTTGCGTTTTGTTTGACAACTATGATAATCAGTAGATGTGAGTAAAATGTATGTATTTAATCAAATATGAATTCAATACAAGTCAACAACTGTAAATCTTGTGTTCCTCATGTATGGTCATAATTACAATTTATAGTATTAAAAGAGTTATCGATCAATTATCGATCAAAAAGTAATCGATCACTTATCGATCAAACTTCCTGAGGAGTTTGATCGATTAGTGATCGATGACCATAAGTAATCAATCGATTAGTGTTCGATTACAATCGATTAGTGATCGATTACCGATCTGATCGATTAATCATGTCTGGTTATTAGAATGCTGTATAATCCAGAAAGAATGTTTTTCTAAGCTGACCAGTATTTATCTTATCTATTACACTCTTTCAATATCTCCAGAATCACAGGGCTATTACACTAATAAAACTTGTCACAATTAAGGCATATCCTTGGGTAAAGGAAACCAATTGTAAGTTTAATCAATAAAAGAACCATGATGCTTTTACAATGGGAGAAAATTTTTTTTTTTTTAAATATGAACAGGCAAATAAATCATTGCTCCTATTGCAGAATGGACTTCAAAAAGTAGGGAATTAGCATGATTTATTTTTACTTTTGATTCAATTGAAAGTGATCAACAAGACTACAAATTTTTCAGTTGGTAATGACAGTATCCATACAGTGATAGGCTGTGTATTCAAATCTCGCATTATTACCATTTGGACCAAACACCTTCTTTGGGCCCTCTTACATTTTACAAAGAAAAAGATGAGAAAATAAACATTGGGGCTGGATCAGGAAAATGTGCCTTTTAATACTCAAGTAACTATTCAGGCCCATGGACCACTTGTTCTTTGCTTTTAAAAGTTTTTGAATGTAAAATCTAAATATTTATGGTGTATTTCAGTGATATGTGTGGCAGGATCTTACCATGATACTAACACAGGCACATGTAAAAACTGTTCCAAGAATTTCTACCAGGATATGAATGGAAAGACAACTTGTAAAGCATGTCCAGGCTCTGTGAAAATGTATACTCTATCAGAGGGTTCAAATTCACAGAGTCAGTGTTTGTGTAAGTATCCAGATCTGATTAAGTCCCCCAATTAAGCTACCGGTATACGCATCCAATTGTCTGTCCATTTATTAATTTTTTCAATTTTTTTCTCTTCAACCATGTGTACGCCAATTTATGCCAAACTAGGGTATCAATTATTTAACTACTGATTTGTAAAGAGAAAATCTTTGTCTGAAGAACCTGACAAACATAGTCATATGCTTTACAAGGTATTACCATGCAAACATCACTACATTATATACAAACTATTACCGGGTAGTATAATTTTTGTAACATCCTTAATTTTCTGAACAGGCAACAAATTGTACTTGCACAACATATGATAAGAATACTTCTGTTTTGTCATACTTTTTATACATGTATATTATTACAAGTTGGTCAAAAATAACTACAAATATCTATCAACAGTTTCTAAGAATATATGGTAGATTAAAATATTAACCCATCTTGACAATATTAAAACAAGGAATTTTGATTTCAGCTGAGTGTAGTACTAATCCAAGTTACTGTAAGAATGGAGGAGCATGTAACTCCAATGATGTGACAATATGGTGTACATGTAAGGAGCGTTACACAGGAGACAGATGTGGAGAGCAAAGTGGTAGGTCAATTATAATTGTAGACTTGTGCTTATATATTATAGTCACTTGTGGTTGATAGCAGATAAAAGGATAATCATTATCATGTCAATGTTTCTGACTAAGAGGATCAAAATCTTTAAAAATAAAAATGATTTATATGAAAAAAAAATACAAATGTACAACATTCTCAAGAAAAGGAAGGTTTTATTTTTTTAACATTTTATCTTTTATTTAATTTAACCCAAAATGTTGCTTTCTTTCTAGAATTCACATCAAACACACCATATATAATAGGAGGGGCAGTTGGTGGATTGGCTGCAATAATGGTCATAGCTCTTGTCATTATATGCCTGGTTAGGTGTCTACAAAGGTGAGATCATTACTTATGAATTACAAATGATTGACATCTTTTCTTATTATTTAAAAACATCAGCTCAATAACTGCAAGCATTTAGTGCAGAAAACTAAGGGGAACAGACAGACACACCAACAGAGGGACAGGCAGACAAGGACGAAGACTATAGCCCACTCTAGTTTCATTGATACTCATTTAAGGGAATAAAAATCAAATTAAGAAAAATAACAGCACATTTTGTTAATGATCTTATTCATTGGTCTGTGTTTGTCTGCAAAAACTTGAACACTGCCAATAACTTTTGAGTGGGTAGGGCTATGGCTTTCATATTTCACAGATGTATTTCTTGTGGCAAGACCTTTCTTTGGGTACCACTAAATTTGACCTTTTGACCATGGAGTTTGACACACTGATACACATATGACAAGAGCTTTATTTAGAAACCAACAACTTTGACCTTGACCCAGGAGTTTGACCTACTTTTTAAAAACTTTAACCTTGGCCATAACTTTTGAACAGGTGGTGCTAGGGCTTTCATATTTCACAATTGTATTTTTATTTTGTGAGAAGGTCTTACTATGGTACAAACATATTTGATTTGCATTTGAGAAAGTTTTAACTTTGCTATGTTGCCATATGGGAGGGGGTATCAGTGTTTCAAAGTTTCACAAACGCATCTTGTTTTTAGCTCACCTGAGCGGAAGGCTGATCACATTTTGTCCGTTGTCCGTCCGTCTGTCTAGCTGTCTTTCTATCTGTCCGTCTGTAAACTTTTAACATTTTCGACTTCTTCTCAAGAAAAACTGGGCCAATTTTGACCAAACTTGGTACAAAGCATCCTTGGGGAATTTAAATTGTTAAAATAAAGGGCCAGGTCCCCTCACAAGGGGAGATAATCAAGAAAAGACAAAAATAGGGTGGGGGCATTAAAAAATCTTCTTCTCAAGAACCACTGGGCCAGGAAAGTTGAAACTTATGTGGAAGCATTCTAAGGTAGTGTAGATTCTAAATTGTTCAAATCATGACCCAAGGGGGAAGGGCAGGGCCGCAATGGGGAATCAAAGTTTTACATAGAAATATATAGGAAAAATCTTTGAAAATCTTCTTCTCAAGAACCACTGGGCCAGAAGAGCTAAAACTTATGTGGAAGCATCCTGGGGTAGTGTAGATTCTAAATTGTTCAAATCATGACCCCAGGGGGAAGGGCGGGGCCACAATGGGGAATCAAAGTTTTACATAGAAATATATAGGAAAAATCTTTGAAAATCTTCTTCTCAAGAACCACTAGGCCAAAAAAGCTGAAACTTATGTGGAAGCATCCTGGTATAGTATAGATTCTAAATTGTTCAAATCATGACCCCAGGGGGAAGGGTGGGGCCACAATGGCGAATCAAAGTTCTATATAGAAATATATAGGAAAAATCTTTGAAAATCTTCTTCTCAAGAACCACTGGGCCAGAAAAGCTGAAACTTATGTGGAAACATCCTGGGGTAGTGTACACGATGTAAATTCGAAATTGTAAAAATCATGACCCCTGGGGGAAGGGCGGGGCCACAATAGAGAATCAAAGTTCTATATAGAAATATATAGGAAAAATCTTTGAAAATCTTCCTCTCAAGAACCACTGGGCCAGGAAATATGAAACTTAGGTGCACATGGAAGGATCACTGGGTAGTGTAGATTTCAAAATGTCTAAATTATGATCAGTGGGGTAGGGTGGGGATGCATTATGTATAACGAGGGGGAAATCTGGTAAAGAACAGAATGGTGTAGGCTTCTCAGGTGAGCGATGTGGCCCATGGGCCTCTTGTTCTTAGATGAAAATGCCTGTTGTAATAACCTCAATCTTTTTTCTATATTTCTAGATCAAAGGAGTCTAAATATCCACCCAAAGACCCAGTGGAATATGCTTATGATTACAATGCTCCTCTTTATGACAACGGCTCCAAGAGAGGAGTTGTTTCTTATGCCCGAATGAACCCCTCTTTTAACTATGACGATGGCAGCTTCTACGATACTCGTAACAGGATGTATCAGCAAGAAGATAATACCAGTGCTTATCGATGGCAGGAGGCTCCTGGAGATTATAATCTTTAACATTCATTCTACCATCTATAACTGCATCTATTAATCAAGTTACATATCAAAATTTTACAATTGCTCCTGAAAGAGTAAATGTGCTTTCATTATTACTGCCTTGTACATGTATGTGTGTTTTTTAAAAGTGGTTGGTTTATAGTAGACATCCTCTAAACTAAGAAATCTTTTGGATTACTGATATTTTTATACTTCCTGAGTAGATTTATACTCAAAATATACAAATGAAGTAAAGTTGATGTTTTTAGGGCAGATTTCTAGCCTACACAAGTTCATCAGAGTGTACTTCTTTCTTTTAAAAGTACATTTTAAAAGTTCTAACATTATTGTATCAAGCAATAGTTTGTTTCTTGTGCAATACCTAAATCAAAAGTTATGTTTACAATCAAATTCATAGACAAATCATGTTTAATTTGTTTTTAATTGTTTTTCAGAGTTTCATGTACAGTATAACTTTAGAAAACTTCAAAATTCAACTTGTGCAAAATTATATGGAACATTCATGTCATAAAACAGATTAAAATCTGAAAAAAAAACTTGCTTTTATTGAAGAATCAATGTTGACATGTTAGTGATAGTGAAGGTGCTTCAACTTTGATTGATCACTGATATAATTTTTGTGTTGCAAATACCGCATATAATTTTATAATCAAATATATATTCTTATCTTTTGTGAAATTGGAGTTATGATTGGTAGAAATTTTATTCAGAGTGTTTTATACTCATTGTTTTACATTTTTATGTATTTCTTTAGTTTTTTCCTATTATACATGTATGACTAGTTATAAAGTAAATCTATATATTTTCAAAACTTTTCCTAAAAGTTTGTTTTTAATCAATACAAATGGACATAAATTACAAATCAGATCCTGTATCTTGAGAGAGGAAAGAATCACAAATTTTTACTTGCATTGTACTCTTAGGTTTTAGAATATATGTCTTAAGTTCCCCTTTGACTCCATCCATAGCCATCACCTAATGCAAAGCAATCCATATACACCGCTGCACAGAATTTTGTCAAACATTGCAGATATTTAAGACACAATGTGTAGATGTGCATATTGCCAGGAAATTCCGATTTCTTTATTATTTCCAGAAATTTCGGCACTTTTCAACATAGATTTTTGGCCATACCTTGAACATGATGATGAACAGTTTGTCAGCGCAACTCCTCTTAAACTGCTGCACAGAATATTGTCAAACTTTGCAGAAATTTAGTAGACAGTGTGTAGATGTGCATAATCCAAATAAGATTGAATTGGATTGAACAGCAGGCATAAATACGTTATACGTACCTATGATCGTTCTCTCCATAGTTACTACATTTATTGGAGAAATACGTTAGGAAAACGAGATGTGTTTGTGAAACATTGATGCCCTCGTATATCGGTCTTTTGCAAAGGTTAAAGTATCTCAAATGCAAGTCAAACTAAAGGTCAAACAAAAGATCAATATTTTACCCAAACAAACACTTTGCGTCAAGAAATATACAAGTACCTTTGAAGAATGAACAGCCCAAGCACCACCCATTCAAAAGTTATGGCAAAGGTTAAATAATTTTAAAAGTTGGTCAGACTACTGGTTCAAAGTATAATTTTCAAAATTACTTAAACCCAGGGAAAGGCCTTGTTATATTAAATGTACATGTGAAATATGAAAGACACAATCTGTTTAAAAGCTAATGGCCAAGACAAAAGTTGATCAAATTACAAGGTCAAAGTTGAAAAGTAGCAAGTTTTGGTAATCAAAGGAAGGTCTTGTTACAATGAATACGCCTATTAAACATGAAAGCCCTAGAACTTACTGCTCAAAGGTTAAGATCAATGTTCATGTTTTCAAAAAGGTGGGCCAAAATCTGAGGTCAAGTCCTAAAGGTCAAAAGTAATACACTATACCAATTGAAAGGTCTTGTCACAATGAACAAACCAGTAAAATATGAATGTTGAACGACCGTTCATAAGTTCTGGCCCAGGTTAAGGTTTAAAGGGGTAAAACTCCATGGTCAAGTGGTCAAACACTAGAATGTTGATACCCAAAGGAAGGTCTAGTAAATATTAATACACTTGTGAAATATGAAAGCCAATGATAGATCTAGCCATTCAAAATTATGGACAATGTTAAAAGATTAAAGATTTGCGAACAGATAATTAGAAAGACAAACAGCGGATGGGGCAAAACCATTACACCCAAAGTCTTAGGTAACGGGGGTGGGGGTTTGGGGGGATATTATAATGGCTGCAAACGAGGAATTACATAATGAAATCTCTTGGTTAGTTGTAATCTTTTTAAGCTAAATCTGGAGACATAAAGGTCCACAAGAGTAAGTTTTGCATTGAAAATTTCAACAATGAAAACTATTTCGTGTCTGATTATTTGTCATGTTTAGGAGAAAACATTCTTTTTGGCTTCATTTTTAGCTCTACTGGTCAGAGACCGCTTATGCGAAAGTAAGGTGTCCGTCGTCCATCCGTCTGTCTGTAAACAATTTTTCAAAACGCTACTCCTACAGTTTTGGTCTGATTTTAATATAACTTGGCACACAAGTAGACTACACTAAAATACATAAACAGGGCATCGTTTTTTGATTTCGAAGAATGTTACAATGGATACTAAAAATAGAATTTTCTGTGAAATTCTTTTAAAACGCTACTCCTTCTACAGTTTTGGTCTGATTTCAATATTACTTCGCACACAAGTAGACTACACTAAGATACACAAAATAGTGCATCGGTTTTTTGATTTCGATAAATGGTGTTGCCATGGTTACTAAAAATATGATTTTCTGTAAAATTCCTCCAAAACGCTACTCCGTCTACGGTGTTGGTCTGATTTCACTATTACTTGGCACACAAGTAGACTACACTAAGATACACAAAATAGTGCATCGGTTTTTGATTTCGATGAATGGTGTTGCCATGGTTAATAATTACTAAAAATAGAATTTTCTGTGATATTCCTTTAAAACGCTACTCCTTCGACAGTTTTCAGTATAACTTGGCACATAGGTAAGTAGACTACACTAAGATACATAGAGTAGTGCATCGGTTTTTAGCTCACCTGAGTCGAAGGCTCAAGTGAGCTTTTCTGATCACATTTTGTCCGGCGTCCGTCTGTCCGTCTGTCTGTCTAGCTGTCTGTCTGTCTGTCTGTCTGTAAACTTTTCACATTTTTGACTTCTTCTCAAGAACCGCGGGGCCAATTTCAACCAAACTTGCCACAAAGCATCCTTGGGTGAAGGGGATTCAAGTTTGTTCAAATGAAGGGTCACGCCCTCATTCAAGGGGAGATAATTAGCAATTAATGAAAATTTGGTGGCATGTTTTAAAAATCTTCTTCTCAAGAACCACTGTGCCAGGAATGATGAAACTTATGGGGAATCATCCTCAGGTAGTGTAGATTTTAGTTTGTTCAAATCATGACCCCCGGGGGTAGGGCGGGGCCAAAATGGCCGACCAAAGTTTTACATAGAAATATATAGGAAAATTCTTTAAAAATCTTCTTCTCAAGAATGACCAAGCCATAATTCATCATATTTATATGGAAGCATCCTCAGGTAGTGTAGATTCAAGTTTGTTCAAATCATGACCCTCGGGGGTAGGGCGGGGCCAAAATGGCTGACCAAAGTTTTACATAGAAATATATAGGAAAATTCTTTTAAAATCATCTTCTCAAAGATAGAAAATCCATGGTTGTTCATGGGACTACTTTTGGATTTTACCTTTTCAATAATAAACCAATTTATACTTTTACTAGCCACAGTGCTCAGGTGAGCGATGTGGCCCATGGGCCTCTTGTTTATTTCGATGAACGGTGTTGCCATAGTTACTAAAAATACATTTTTTTCTTCCTCTGAAAGTTTTCCATTAAAACGATACCCCTTCTACAGTTTTGGTCTGATGGCAATGGCTTCTTTTCTCATCCTTTGTTAGAAGTACCGGTACAAACCAGTAGAGCTACAGTCTCGACAGAGAGTTCTGGTTTATAAGTCGCAGATCTATCATTTCCACCCTGAAACATGACAAGAGGTCTACAGACCTTAAAGGTCACATGAGTATCATGTAACAACTTCCCAACAATTGAGTTTCGTTCTAGTTTTAATCCAAAGGCAAAGAAATTCACAATTTTGAAAGAGGCACAATTGTTTAGCATAACTATACATTTGGCATGCTTACTTTAGTCACTTAATACCCAGAGGTATATCAGAGTAACAAAGAGAAAATGCATTTCACTTTATAACCACCAATTGTGCACCCAACCCACAGGAACCACTGACCCTGGGGCCACATATTCAAAATTTTGGAAATTTTATTATAAATTTTTACTTCATAATAAATGGTAAATTAATACCAAAGAAAGGATTTCAAAGTATTACTTTATTTTAAGACTATGTTACATCACCTCCTCCTGGCGATACTTCTAACTCTCAATGAACCATTTTGGAAGAGGCACCTTTTTTCATCATAAATATGTACGTAGATCATTACCATAATATTCAGGAGCAAAGGAAGAGATTTCCAAAGAATTTATCCATTTTCTCCGTATAATCAATGGAGCACCACCCTAGCACCAGAACCCCTGATCCTGGGGCCATGAAATTCACAATTTTGGAAAATGCAGCCTTATTTAACATTATCATGTATTTGGTTTATTTATTTAATACCCAGGAGCAGAGAAGAATATTTTTAAAAGAATTCATGCATTTTCAATATATAATCAACAGAGCCCAGTCCTATCATTAGAACCCCTGACCCAGGGGCCATGAAATGCAAAAGATTTAAGAGGCGTTCTCGCTCAATATAATTATGTACTTAGTTTGTTTGTTTAATAGGCAGGAACAGAAAAGAAGATTTTCAAAGGAAACAATGCAATTTCACTATATGATATATTCAATAGAGACCCACTCTTATACCCGAACCCCGCATCTACGGGCCTTGAAATACACATATTGGAAAGAAGTATCCTTCTTCATTATAACTATGTACATAGTTTATTGCTTATATACCCAAGAGCAGAGGAGAAGTTTTAACATTTTGACTACCGGTATGCATTTTCCTTATATAAATAATAGAGCCCCATCCTAACACCAGAACCTCTGTCTCGGGGGCCATGAAATTCAAAATTTTGGAAGTAGCAGCCTTATTCAGCATAACTATGTACTTGGTTAGTTTATTTAATGTCCAGGAGCAGAGAATGAGATTTTCAAAGAGATGTATTTTCACTTTACATATAATCTATTTAGCCCCACCCTAGCACTAGAACCACTGACTCTGGGGCCATAAATTTCACAATTTTTGAAGAGGACTAAATGCTGATTACAATAATGCAAACAGTTTGACTGCTTGATGCTCAGGAGTATAGAAGAAGATTTTTGAAGATTAATTATAGTGGTTTTGGCCCCAGGGGGACAGATACCATAAAAATTCACAATTTCTGTTCCCCTTCCGCAACATATGCTTTGTGCCAAAATTGGTTGAAATTAGTTGAGATGTTGCAGAGAAGCTAAAAATGTTCAAATGTTAACGCACGATGCACGACGACGGACGAAAACGGACAGCAATAGGTCGTCTGAGTTTACCTATGAAGACTTAAAAGTGTAAGTTGGTTTATGTTAACTAAAATCTTTAATTTACAAATAAAGTGAATATCCACCTTTTAGCTCACCTGACATTTTGTCCGTCGTCCGTCCGTCAGTAAACTTTTCACATTTTCGACTTCTTCTCAAGAACCACTGGGCCAATTTTGACCAAACTTGGTACAAAGCATCCTTGGGTAAAGGGGAATTTAA